ATTGATGAGGTTCACTTTAATAATTACTTTATATTGTAGGAAAAATGATTCCAATTTTCTTTTAATGCATTTAGGCAGCTGCTATTTCCAGGATTCACTGCCGCATGAAATTGAAAGAACAGTTTGGTGGCTTTTTTAACCTTAGGGAAAGAATCAAGACAGTTAACCCTATTGATCACAGGACTATTTATTGTGATATAACCTTATGGTCATTTTTTGCTGATTCCTCTCAAGATGTATCAGATAATTAGTTTATGACAAATAAAGCTCATTTAACAAATATTAGAACTCCCTTGTTTGTTTTTACTGTTGTTCTGTTTTATTCTTTAGGTACTATATTTTTCCTGGAACAAGAAATTGTAAAAACAAGTGGTTTAAATTTTTTTAATTATTATTATCACAATTTGTTAGAAAAAAACAATGAAATTAAAATAAAACTTCATACTGAGTATGATAACAGTAAACAAACAAATCACCCAGGTGCATCTTAATTAATTAAAATATTATTGAAAATTGAAATTGAAAAGTGAAAGACATAAAACTCATTACGTTGAATTAAAACAATGTTTTATTTATTAGATATTAAATCAGAACAAGGCAGCATGGCAAATCCTTTTCTGTGTAGGTCTAAAGAAAGATGTGTTAGATAAGATAATTTGAATAAGTCCCTTAAATAAGCTCTGATTTTAAAATGAACAGAGAAAACAAACAAAAAATAAATAAATAAAAAAAATGTTTCTCACTTTCAAAAGCAATAATTTGTTTTTGTATATTTTCAACACCATTATTTGCAAAGCTAATCTTAGATCAGACCAAAGTGTCCCATTTTGAAGGTACTTGTCTCTCTGACACTCTAGCAGAAAACCCCCCCAACTGAACTCACCAAGAGCAGCAAATGTTTACCCTCCAGAATATTATCCACTTCAAAATTTGCGGATGTATTAACTGCATCAAACATTGGAGATATCACACATAATAAAAACTCCTCCATGAGGCACAGATAAAGGAGTGTTATAAAGTTAATCTTTATTCTATAGCATCTGACATAGTTTACATGAAGGCTGTTAGTCCTAGTGGTCGTTACAATGGATGGATGAAAAATCATTTACAAGAAAACGCACTTCTTATATACTCAGATTCTGATTTATACATCATATATTTGATTTGTGATACTGATATTTATGTACAACATACATGTAGATGTAAAATAAGAAAATATCCATCCAATACAATCCGTTAGATCATCAAACTTTCAAAGGCATAAAGAGAAAAAAGTGAAAACGACAGAGATCTAATCCACGCTGACATCAACTCATGTTTTACATCTCGCTTCATTAAACTTGATCCTTGATAATAAGGCCCTTAATAAACATTCCTTTGCCTGTGATGTGTCAACTCATACAAAATGTTTACACTAAATGAAAAGCCTTTTATTGCTTCCTCTAAAGTCAAAGTTTTTAGATCAAGGTACTGCTTCAATAAAGTGCTCTGCATTGTGTATAATAGTACAAGGGGAGCCAGATCATGCAGAGGGAACAACGTTGAGGTAAAGAAGGTAGAAATATGGTCGCTGGACGGTGATGTCATCACATGATAAGTCCCACCTGTGCTTTAAGATGCCTGATGGGTCAAACTATTGTTCTTGCTTGTTTCAAACTTCGGTTATTGCTGGAAATGCTGTTTTCAAACAGAAAAACATAAAACCAATCTAGTTGATTTTTTTTATATATTACAACACTTGAATTCTGTTTAACTATTAAATGGATGTTTGAGGTTGTGCTGCTTTAACTTTAAGACCTGAGAGAACCAGGTAATCTTGATGCCTTTTGGTCCCGAATAGCTTCAGATCATTGAGCCAATTTTTAAATGAGAAAATACAGTGCATACAAAAAATCGTTTTCACATGTTGATCTGTTTTACATGTTGATACTGGTTTACTTGTTGATCTATTTTTTTTTTCGCAAGGCTGCATGTGAAAAAAAACATTGTTAAATCATGATTAACAATTAACCACTTCTCTTATAAATCGAGGATAATTTCTCATGTCTTACTTAGACTTATAGAATGAATGAATTTGGATAGAACTGATCTGACAACATGAAGTGGTCCATCAGATCCCTAAAATCAAGAATCATATAAAAAACAAACAAACAAAAAAACCCCACTAACATCCATCAATCTGAGAGGGTTATAAACCCATTTCCAGGTTTTTGGGACTCCAGTAAACTGTAGCATTAGGGTCAAGATCAACAAACACATTGACCAACCTACCAGAGACCATCAACTCAAAAAACCTAAAACATGTAGAGAATTATACCTCTAATTTGTCCCAGTTAAGGATAATATTCATGATTTAACAATGGGGGAACACCGCTGCTCAAGAAAGCATTTAATCGCTATGTCATGTTTATCCCCTAAAACTTGGTTTTGACAATATATTACATCTGGCATAAAATGATCAAGAACTGTGGCTGATTCACCAATGATTAGGCCACCAATTAAAAACATTTAGATAAATAGCAGTTGGGTCATTGAGCAGGTTCCCCTCTAAGTCAAAAGTCCAGGCTTTGATCTGATTGAGATGTTGTGGCATGGCCTTAAATACAGTATTTGAAAGAAATGATGGAGTAGGCTAAAATTCCTCCACAGTGACGCAAGCGACCATGTGCTGGTTTTTGCAAATGTCTGATGATAGTTATTAACACCAAGAATGGAACAACCAGTTATCAAGTATGGACGTCAGTGTTTCCTCAGTCCAGACAGATCTTTCCCTTTCAATAAATATTTGAAAACCGATTTACACCCAGTTAGGTTAACTTTGTCTAATATAAGACTTTATTTAATGATCTGAAACATGCTGATGACAAAAAAAGCCGAAATAAGAACATAAGAAAGGCGGGAAAACTTTTTCACACTAAAAAACAGGAAAAGGATGGAAGGATAAACAACAAATTAGACAGTGACCTTGATTTAAAGACAGTTATTGCTTCGATTTTACTCACTTTACCCAGGAAATCAGTTTGACTTTAGGAAAACGCTTAAACACTGAGATGATCAAACCTATTTTAATTAGTCTCTTCTTTATTAAAGCAATGCATAAACTTCACCGTATCAGTAAACATGCAATTATAAAGTCACAGTAAAGGTGAAGCTTCTTGTACAAAAAAAGTAATGCAATGTAGATTTTGTTTTTAGAAAAGCAAAAAATGACATCACATGAAGGCGATAAAAACAAAAGATTTCATAATAAAGCACTTAAACATGTAAAGCACAGGATGTAATGTAAAAGGCAGAAGCATAAACAAGAACAGAGAAGCTCCGATAAATGCTGGTGAGGCGACGATGTTGACTTGGTCATTCAGCCATTAATGACGAAAGCAACAGATTGAAACGACTCACTGCTGTAGAATACAATCCAGGGTTTACATTAACAATGGGAAGAGGTCATATGAGAGAAGGTTCCAGCTTAACTGAGGCAACAACTTACATTAAATATGAATACAGTATAATAGACTCTAATATAGGCCTTATGGCTTCAGAATAAAGGTTTTCTTTGTTGCGCCAAACATTTCTCTTCAAGATACATGAGAGTGTTTGACAAACAAATGTATTTGGTATGAAAAAGAAAGTATGAAAATAGTGTTTCTTTCTCTCTTGTTTAAAACTAAAGTCTTTGGAATCATTAGAAGTCCTCTGGAACGTGTTTTTTTTGTTAATGAAATCTGAATGTTGAGTTTAGGGTCTCTCCTCGGTAATAATATAACATTCATGTTAAACTTATAATCCAAACAGCAGCGCATACTGAAAAGCTACAGTAATGCGAGTTTAGGTGTGCAATGTGTCCAACAAGACGCCTAAAAAAGAAAAGGTTTAATGACGACAGCTTAGGAGAGGATTTAAATCTAAGAAAGGTGCTAATAAGATGAATTGTAGTCTCTTTTTGTAGAAGGGTTTTTCCAATTTTAAAAGTTATTTATTCTATTAGTTCTCTGCATAGAAAATCTAAAAATGTTCTGCAGCTCATTTGTCATTTCAGGGGTTTTCAGGCATCTTTGTCGGAATTTCTATACATTTACATTTCTCTAATAACTGTCACTCTAAGTTTTACAGTAATGGGTTATATTTGCACAGGGATGGGTCCATGACCATAAAATATGTCAGGGATAAAGTACAACATCATTGCAATAATGCCCTGTGCAGCAAAGCGTCTATAGATTGAGGTTTAAGAGGAAATACAATTTAGAAACAAGTCTCAGGATTTTCAGATTTAATCTAAACATATAAACATTAAATAAAATAATCTCTGTAATTTGATTGATCACAAAGTGATCCAGCAGACATCAATGTTTAGCAGATTTTTCTGACTCCTCGGACAGAGAACTAGACTCTGCTGTTACTAAGTGGAAAACATTCTTGTCCAGGAGTCCAAAGTGGCTCCGCATAATAGACTTAAAATCCCTGTAATTTAGTGGTAAAATTAAATTATTCTTTTTACAGTAGTTTTAGTCAAAGTCACACCAAACACTGTGCAAAGGTGTGAAATCACAATTTATTTCAGATGCAAAAGAATGGCAGAAAGGCCGCTCTGACTGATTAATTACCTTTAGCTTGTGATTTTATTCTACAGCTGTAAATACCGGTACTCAAAAAAAAAAAAAGAATATTTCCTAAATTTGTGTAGAGTAAAATTAACAGCTGATTAGGAGTTAATAACTCACTGTAAACCTTTTTTTTTTCGTTTTGTATTTAAAGTCTGTTTGCGCTACACAATTTTACAGAATTCTAGTTATTTTTATTTGTTTGTCGTATTTTTCTTCAGAAGGATGAAAGCAAAAGTCTAAAGTGAAAAACAAAATGTTAAGATCAGCAGGGAAACCCCAACGGATTAAAATGATCCATAGATTCAAAGTAGAGCTTTCCTCTGGGCTAAATTTCAACCCCGATTATTTTATTTTACTCTGATAGACAAAGTAGAAACTAAACGGAACACATTTTGCTCTCATCCTTGGAAAGGTTACTTAAGTTTGAGCAAAAGCTTATTATCTAGGTGAAACTCTTGAGCGTTAAAAAAAACATTCAGTATTCAATTTAGTTCCAGGTTATACATTGCTGATTTTCCATAAGTAGACATTAGACATCAGTTATGAGTGATTTGTCTTTCTGTTCATCCTTATACAACTCTCTATAGAATGAACCAAAAAGTTAAAAAGTAGTGCAATGACTAATCAAGCAAATCATCTGGATATACATGAAAAAATGTGTCTGAATATAACATTCTTTAAATATATACTTGGTAAAATTGCCATATGAAGAACAAAATTGATGTAAAACTTTTACAAATGATGGAGAATAAAGTGGGAATGTGATGTTTCTGGTTCATTCAGCAGATGCTGTACAGTTAACCAGTGATGGTTATGATGCTTCTATCAAACAGAATTAGTTATAAACAAGTTAGTAGCTCAGCTGTGCAAAAGTTCAGGTTCTTTTTATTTGTTTGTTGTTTCTTTAATGCCCAAGTTTGATTTCTAACTTCAGCTTGAGCAATGCTTTGCATGATTGAAATGATTTTAAAGGGTATAGAAAGAGTTATTAATGATGGTATTTTAAACCCCTATACTGCATAGTTTTACATTTTTTGCCAAGACATGCTGACAGTCAGAAGGTTATAAAATATTAATAGGTGACTGCTGTGCAAAAAAAAACTATTCAGGTGTGTGAAATGACAAAATAAATGTTAATGGGCCCTTGGCTATTACATAATAAGGGAAACTGCTTTAAGATTTTAATCAGAGCTGAGAAGTGTGCTCTAAACTGAGGTAAACATTTGCTAATAAAAGTGATTTAAACCGAATGGGGGAGCAATGATGGTGGCTCATGATGTGCAAAAAGCTTCTCCAACACTCAGAAAACTGTTTTTAAAGAGACAAAACACACCAACCCCCTTAAAGAGGGTTACCTTAGTCGTAGAAAAAAGGCTGCAGTCTTTAAATACTATTGTTCTTTAACTCACTAGCCTGCAAAGCAAAAACACAACAGCTTCAAATCCATATTCCCCAAGAACGCATTAGACTGATTCCAAACAGTCTAAAATGATATAGAAATCTACAGAATGCCCCTATTCCACAGGTCTAAAGGGGAAAAAAAGTCTCAAACAGCTACATCTATGTTTATAAATCCAGCAACTTGAACTGATTGATACGAAAAACTGACGTGCAAAGATTAAAAATCAAAGTGAAGATATGAATGTTCTTGTTTGTCCCACACAACTTAACTCTAAAGACTGGTGCAGAATTTAAAAACTAACATTATCTAATACTAAAACAGTCCAAGGCTTTGGTAATGCATAGTTCCTTACTGAACATCTCAGATAGACAGCCGTGACATCCACCTTCTCCCAGCTTTCAGGTACAGCAGCATTTTTTTTTACTGCTGTAACCAAATAAAAAGCAATGATAATAAAAAGATAATGGCTCTTTTCCCCTCAGGCTCTTCCTCTTTGTTACTGCTTCTTACAGCTTCTGCAGTTTTGGCTTTTTTTTTTTTTTTAGATAATTTCAACCAGAGCAGCAACTAGGACCTGTTTTGCATCTTAAGGCAGGAACGGTTCGTCCTCGTCTTCCTCCGCAGCAGGACCCGGGTCGCTTAGGCACCTCATCAGCTTCTGCTGGTCTCTCAGATCATCTTTCTCACTGCGTTTGTCTGATTCACTCGACTTTGTCTTCATCATCAGGCCCTGGTCGTCGTTCTGGGCAGGCTGTCCGGTCTCGTCAAACAGGTTGACAGAGTCTGGAGACTGTGGAGACGCCAGGTCAACCTGGATGACGGGCACACCGTCTGCTGATGGCTTTACGGTGAAAGACTGTGGATCTAAAGGCAGAACAATGATGCAATCATTAGATAACAAAAGGGTTAAATATAATTTAGCATTCTATCAGCATGCATGAACTTAAACGTTTGAAACCAGACATTTTCATACAATGTATAAAAAATATATTCCTATTTTTCTCACTCTGACATTATATCAGAATCAACATTTGCAAGTTTAGAACAGTCAGGATTTTAAAATTATTACAAAATGAGCCAAAAGTTTGCTCCAAGTTTTCCGATTTCAAGGCATTTTGATCCAATAATATACCAAGAAATGGTGCTTTTTTCCCTCTTAATTTGAAGAAAGTAATAAAAGCAAAAAAATCATCGGTAAAAAAGTATCTTAATAATTTGGTATGTATCCAAAACAAAAACTTTGTGATCCCAACTGACCTAAAGCAGGAAACGTGAAGGCAGTGAGAAAAAAACAGACTTGTGCATCTTTAAATAGAATAATGCTAGAAACGTATGTGCAAGGGGAGGAAAATGTGAACTAAATCTAAAGGTCTTTGTGTCGTTAACATACAAAGTTTAGACAAGTTTGCAGTTCAGCAAAGCTGAGCAGCACAGCTCTTAATGATAAGTAATGAACGCATGCTGGGATATTTCGCTTTTGGTAAAGCTTGAAGGAATGCAGCTGAAGCTTCTGATATACAATCTGACCTTGTATATATTAGTACTGCAGAAATATAAGCATGCAGATTAGAGTTGCTGTTCGCTCATCTCTCCTATAGAGGGCTCCACTTTACTCTACATACCTGATGAGTTTTTGTTTCCCTTTTGCTGCTGAGCAGGTATGAAATCAGTATTTCTGCCTAAAATGAAACCAAACTTTGTTTTTAATGCTGGCTCGCACAAACAAACGTTTCCATCAAAGTGAGGGACTGGGAAAATTAGATTCTAAAACAGAAACATGCATCTCAGTGAATTAGAAAAATCTGAAATCAACTGAATTTAGTTTTTTTATTTTTTGTTAGTTTTACCAGTAATCTAGTTCTAGCAATTTAGAGTGATTATTTTGGAGGAGTCTACGCGCCACTGTCCTTCAACCTTAGAATATATCCCCAAAAACTCTTCATCAGTCCACTGCTGAACATGTCATGAGGACGGATTCAGTCATCCACTTCATTCAGGTTTGTTGGAGAAAGGATGCAAAGAAGAGCCACAGCCCGTTAGCGATAGGGAGTGGGGTTGGAGATTCTTCTTAGATAATTGCACACAACATAAAATATTGTATTTATATTTCCTTCATCATCTATATATATATATATATATATTTAGACATAAAGGGTTAGAATAAGTTGAGGGGTGCCCAGTGCAGGCCTAGGTAAAATATGCACCGCTTGCCACTGTTTAAACATGATATATTAACACATTGTAACTGAAATGTTGACCTGCAGGTCGTTTGTATTGTTGCTTCTGCTAGCTTTCATATTAAACCTTAGATTTTCTGTGGCATTTATAACAGGTCAGGTTTTTGTATCAATCATGGTGATACCATAGCCACTAACCAAGTTGTACTTGTTAGTTTGCTCTAGTTATATCTTCTATTGTTTATATATATATATATATATATATATATATATATATATATATATATATATATATATATATATATATATATA